TTAGTACATGTATCAAGTGCATGATATAAACTAGGCAAATAATAACAATTCACAGGCGCAGAAATCATCTACCTAGTTGTCAGTTGTCAGTTTAGTTTGCTCGAAATCGTAACCGTGTGAATTTTATATTCTCTTTTTTTTGACAGGTAAATATGTATTTTCTTAAATGCTCAAATGCATGAATTGATGACAGGACACTAATATTCGGACGCTATCTCGGATTTATCTAGTTTATCTCTATGGGAGAAAAAGACTCGTGCGTCTTATTCGTGAAAAACTCGAGTATGTAATACTTATGCACATTTCACAAAAAAAAAAGTTATGTCTTCTCTTCTTTTTTTTTCGAATCGCTTGTCATTCCGAGCGTTTCAAGTTTTAACGTACGTCTCTCCTGAGGATAACAATAGGATGTCTCCGTGTATTATCTTATCCTTGTCTAACATTGAGTGAGCAACAAGGATGCAAAATGATATGTGTAGGCTCTCAAGTAGGTTTTCGAATGTATCCTAGGCGATTTTCATTTGGTGACACAAGTTGATATAAGTATCTTTTTATCTTTGCTACTCTCTGAATGTCAAGAAAGATAGAAAGATGTTTGTGTGACTTGTGTAACTAAATAAAAAGCACTCAATATGTTGTCACTTGATTGAAGTTGCACAATCCATTTGCTTGATAGATAAGCTTGTAGCATGATCGATAAACACTTGCTATGGTATAGGTGATATATGCATATATCTACTTTTTATGTTTTCAAGCCAGATAATAAATTTTTTTCCATCTATATGTTCTCCTTGATTTCTCATTATAATTTTTGAGGGAAGAATTTTTTGATCAAAATGCAATCTCTTTCAGCGATCATGTTACATCAAATGAAGCAATGAATCAACTTGTATAAATCATTGGTTTAAATCTTTGTTTTTATCAGCTATCATGAATAGCTCATGGTTTAAGAAATAAATGTTATCTTATTATATTATTACAGATGATAAAAATGAACCAAAACATTTGAGTGCCGAACATTTGAATGTCACAAGAAGGTATAAACGAAATTTCAAGTGCTACAGTTATGTACATGCGAGTACTAGCAGTCTATGGAAAAAAATTTAGATTTAAATACTGGAAGATGTCTGATGTTTGTATACAAGAACGATAAATAATTAGACAAACTGTTACAAGGAAGAATAGAAAGTTGAATTTACGAAGCGTATCATTGCGGGAAATATTATGTCGGGTACTGGGCCTGTCATATCACAAACCATTGCTCATTTGCCAGAGAAGGAACATGGACCTATTCCAACTGTAGATTACTCTAGCATTAGAGACAAGGTATATCAAAATGTTTAATTGTTCTAAATTGTCTGTTCTAAAATGTTGTTTTTACAGTATTTTATAAGAATGTAGATTAATGTGAATTCTAGACTATCTTGGTCAGTCCATCTGAAGATCAGTATGAATTATTGTTGAGAAAACTGAAAGAAAGGATACAGGATGGAGGTAGCGAAACGATTTTTGACATTGGTATCGCTGAAGGTCGGTACTAAAAAAGATATCTTAAAGAAAAAGAAATTATGATTCTTGCTGTGTATATATATATATATATATATATATATATATATATATAAAACTTATCTATGCGATATTTAGATGGATCCGAGGATGGATTAAAAGAGGATGAGTATGAAGCATCGGTTGCCACTTTACAGTCTCTTGCTGCAACATTGGAAGCAGATTGTGTGCTTCTACGTCAGAGTAAAGTGGATCATGGTCTAACAGGACAGTATCTAGTGAGAAGACGTTTAGATCGACAAGATTTCTTAGAGATTAGGTTTTTATTTAATAATGTAATTTTTGGATTGCCACTCGACAGATTATAATTTATAGCTTCAAACGAGTAATTACTATTTATAGAGTTGCTGTGGTCGGTAATGTGGATGCTGGTAAATCAACTCTATTAGGTGTTCTGACTCATGGTGAACTTGACAATGGACGAGGATTGGCGCGTCAAAAATTATTCCGCCACAAGCATGAAGCTGAAACAGGACGTACTAGCTCTGTTGGAAATGACATACTTGGATTTGATAGTGTTGGTGAGTCTTGACTGTAATATTTTATGTAATTATTCTTTTACTGTAATATCATTATATATTCGTAGGTAACGTAGTTAATAAGCCTGAACATGGTTCGTTGGATTGGGTGAAGATTTGTGAAAAATCCTCTAAAGTAATTACATTTATCGATCTCGCTGGTCATGAGAGATATTTAAAGACGACTGTTTTTGGAATGACGGGACATGCTCCAGATTTCGGTAAAACTGTATTGTTATTATATAAGATCCGAAAAAGAAAATACTTAACGAATATATTTCTTTTATTTGATGTCATTTACAATTATACAATTTATAAGAATCCTATGATTTTGATATAAATATTATTCCAGGTATGTTAATGATCGGAGCAAATGCCGGTATTGTAGGAATGACCAAAGAACATTTAGGACTTGCTTTAGCGTTGTCTGTACCGGTATTCGTTGTCGTGACGAAAATCGATATGTGCCCGCCGAATGTTCTACAAGAAAATTTGAAACTGTTAATAAGGATTTTGAAATCTCCTGGTTGCAGGAAAGTCCCGGTTACAGTGAAGACGCCTGATGATGTGGTAGTTAGCGCTACTAATTTTGTCTCAGAACGGTTAGTTCAATATATCAAGAATTCTAAAAAAAAGAAGTAAATAAACTTCATATCTATATTACTATACTAAAATATCCATAAAATATTATAATATTTCATGCAGGTTATGTCCAATATTTCAAGTATCCAACGTGTCCGGCGAAAATCTAAATCTTCTGAAGATGTTTCTCAATTTATTGACTGCGAGAATTACTAGTCATGATGATGAACCTGCTGAGTTTCAAATAGACGATACATATTCTGTACCAGTATGTATATATTATATAAATCTTTTTTCTTTAATGCACAAAAATATTATGATAATAAATTAAAAATTATAGGGAGTTGGTACAGTAGTGTCTGGTACAACTTTAAAAGGCATCATAAAGTTAAATGATACATTGCTATTAGGACCTGATCCATTGGGTCGTTTTACACCTATAACCGTAAAAAGTATCCATCGAAAGAGGATGCCTGTTCGTGAAGTGAGAGGTGGACAAACAGCTAGTTTTGCACTAAAAAAGATTAAACGGTCACACATTCGCAAAGGTATGGTAATGGTCGCACCTGCACTTAATCCACAGGCCTGTTGGGAATTTGAAGGTGAAATTTTGGTGCTGCATCATCCTACAACAATCAGCTCCCGTTATCAAGCAATGGGTAATTATTATAATATGATTATTATTATATTCTTATTATATAAATTAATTTTTTATTATAAAAATTATTACAGTACATTGTGGCAGTATAAGACAAACTGCTTCTATATTGTCTATGTCTCAGGATTGTCTGAGAACGGGTGACAAAGCCTTGGTACACTTTAGATTTATCAAACATCCCGAGTACATAAAACCTGGACAAAGAATGGTGTTTAGAGAGGGTCGTACTAAAGCAGTAGGAAATGTAGTAAAACTTATACCGCATTCAAATAATATAACTACACAAGCATCTAGAATTAGTAAGCCGAATAAAACGTCACAAAGTCGGCAGAATGCAAACGTGCAGGTATATATGCGATACTTTTAATGTGGTAAAATAATCATTGTTTTTAATTTATTATTCTTTTAAATTCAACCATATAAAAACTTTTACTTTCATTAATTTTAATGAGAACCAAAAATGAATAAACATAATCGTTTTTCTTTTTTTAGGTATTGGAATTAACCGAAACTGATTCGATGAATGAAGCTCAAACAGCTAAACAAGAAAATGTACCACAGAAATCTGGATTAAATCAGAATAAAAAAGGTAGAGGTCGAAGAGGACGATCTCATAATGCTATCAACAATATTCAGCCTTTAACAGAGCAGAACCCTCCTGCAAAAGTATAAGAACAGTGTACAAAGAACACATAATTAATGTTCTAACTTTCTGCTACGTATAAAGGTGCGTTCTGAATTATGTATGAAGAATATGAGGTATCATTTTATCTTTCTTTATTCTTCGATGAATAACAAATGATGTATTATGCATTTTGTGCATAATTCGGAATGCATCCTAAGTTTCTAAAAATGTGATCTACGAGATACGAAATTATTGTATTCTAAAACAATTTTTTTTTCTCCTGATATAAAAACTCGTACTTTATAGATTGTGTAAAAATCTATTCTTCGTAAATTTATTAAGATACGTACTATATAAATTTATTACAATATAATTTTTCGTGTCTCAACTATTTTAATCATATTAAAAAGATATTCTTTTAACGTGGCAAAATATAAAATCTCGGTATTTATAAATTGCATTATTTTTATAAAAGGCATATCTTTTTTAAGCCAATACTACATACAAATAAAATCAGGAAATACACAATACATGTCTTCATGTGTATATGGATGTACTATACCATTTACACTTGTACAGAGTATACAAACTTCTTTTATCAACTTAGAATTTGAAGAGAAAACTTGAAATATGGCCAATGTACATTGTACATTGTAATAATATATCTTCTATAATTTTATGAAAAGAATATATAATCTCATTTATGTCATTCATTCTTTTAATATATTTTGGAACTTTAAACAGAGATGTATCATACTGTATTTCAAGTATAAAAAGAAAATTTTCGATTGTATTAAATATTTATTTCCTAATAATTATTCATATATGCTGCAGAGAAAAGATATATATCCTTCATAAATTTAGACATCATTTCTAACTAAACACTTATTTATTATCAATTGTACATGTTGCTAAAATATTGTGATCAGAAATGTGTTAAATAAAACTTTCGTTTAATTACATATAAAATTTTATATGTTTTATTATCTTTTATAAAAATTATTTAATGATTCTCTTGCAATCTGAATACAAGAACCATATATAAAGTTTGGCATAAAATATATGATCTATCATAAATTATTTCTTAAATTTCTTTTTTTTTTCTAATTGTTGCTTTAATTGGTCAGCAATATCTTTCAGCTGTTTGATAAAGTCTTTTGGACTAGAGATAGGGCGGTGTGATCCATTAACCATACCTGCTCTAATTAGTATGTATACTACAAATTGTGCAGTTTGTCTTATTGGTTTGGATTCTGCTAATCTGTTAATCAACTTTTCATTGTTGAACAAGTATCGGAAAAGAACTCTTAGAGGCATCCTTGAAGTTATTTTTCTTTATGCTCACAAATGTGTTCGCGCGTATTTATACTTTCGGTATTTCAAATGTGCATGTATTACGATATTTCAATAGAAGTTCACGCTTCAATCTCAATTGTTTGCGCAAAGTCTCGAGTTTTTGCAATTGTTCCTCCTTACTATATTCTATCCCTGGTAATCTTTTAATCTGAAAAAAAGTTATATGCATGAAAAACGGCAGGATATTTCTGAACACATTCATACGGAAGAATGATGCAGCTTTTACCTGCGATCTCGCAGAGTCTAACTTTTTCTGTAACTCTAGGATTTTGTGGCTAGTATCTTGAGACTCTTTTGCCTTTTGCGAAGTGTCATGTGGATCTTTCTCAATGCTAAAAATTATAACTAGCAGCACTTATCTTACGTTATCAAAAATATATCAAAAATATAAATATTTGCATATCCATATTTGACTAACAATGCAATAGTGTTTCTATCAATTGTACAAAATTGCACAAAACGTTTTTGAAATACTTGAACAAATTTCTCAGAATTTTGATACACAATTTCTAAAAATTCATTCTTGTACTTGACGTAGGTATCAACTCAAAATGTTAGCAATTTTCTGACAGATTGGCAGAAAATTCGATTAGATTCTACTATAATCTGTGTTTACATTAAGCTCAGGATTTATCAATAGAGATTGTTGGCATGTTAGATACATCAATACTCCGATTCTGTAACTCTTAACAACAAGTTCAGTTATCATTATATTATTCATCAAATAAAGAAAGCCATCGATCAAAAGTTGGATGTTTTAAATAATACATTATATATTCTTAAATTAATTTATTCTAAATATGATTGCCAGGTTCGAATCCTGGCCTGAAGTAATATTTTTGAAGTAATATATTTTTATATTAAATTAATTTATTCCAGATATGATTGAAAGCTAATAACTTTTGGTTTTAACAAAATCATTCTGAAACGCTAATAATTCCCCCTAAATTAGATTAGAAAGAAAGAAAGAAACGCACGGAATGCAAAAGATCCGGGTTTGACTCGCGGCCAAGGCAATATTTTTCGCAATAAGTTTTTTACTTTCTTTCAATAAGATTGGAAACAAGACCGTTTATGTTAAATACATTACTGTAAATACGAAGCGCCACTACGGTCTGAATGTAAGATGTTGAACTATTATATATATTCATTTAAATGAATTAATTTCAGAAATGATAATTGCGTGCCGATATGGTTGTCGGACTTTCAACGCAATCAATCTGAGAGAGAAATATTAATAATCCCCCCAAATTTCTCAAATTTAATCTTAAAAAATTGTAATAAACTTATTGCGAAAAATATTGCCTTGGCCGCGAGTCAAACCTGGATCTTTTGCATTCCGTGCGTTTCTTTCTTTCTTTCTAATCTAATTTAGGGGGAATTATTAGCGTTTCAGAATGATTTTGTTGAAACTAAAAGTTATTAGCTTGCAATCATATCTGAAATAAATTAATTTAATATAAGAATATATTGTAGAATATAAGAATATATTGATATATAATGTATTATTTGAAACATCCAACTTTGATCGATTATGGCTTTTTTCATCATATTTGATATATTCACATATATGGTTGTGCTTAAAATTCATAAATCATTATATTGTTGTACAGATATTGGATACATTTCACTTAATGTTCATAATATTCGAGTATATCATCTCATCCTTGTTTAATATTTCATGACAAGAATAAAATGATACTGCAAGTGTTGCGAACGTTAAGTGGGAAGCATTCACTATATATGATAAAAGAGTACAACAAAGAACATAACAATATCGAATTATTAATAAGAATTACAGAATCAAGATACAGATTGATGGTAGAAATCGAACAGGCTTTGCATATACAGGTAATTCGTATGGGTATCTCTCTAACGAGAGATTGGCAGTAGAAACCAAGAGCTGCAATCCTGCTTGATTTTTGCTGTCAATCTGCTTGTATGGCAAGTCAATAGATTTCATCATATTTCTGATGACTATTTATCGACATTATCGAATTATACTGTGTAATCAACATTATATTGTGTGAAATTAAATGCCTTTCTGTCATCAGATAGCAATTTTGCTCAAAATCTGTCTTTAAAGGCCTGACTATTTGGAAATAAGATGGCAAGCGTTTGCAGATTTATGTTCATGTGATATAACTTAAATAAAAACACGACAGCAACACATAAAAAACAATTAAAAAAACATCAATATTTTAGTTAAGAGTCCTCAAAGAAAAACCAGAAAAAATGTCTTTTATAAAAGCCACGTTAAGAAAATTTTGATTCCGATCAGTTTTAGGTTATGTAATTGTATCGGAATTAACGACTGAATGAAAAAGAATGAAATGAATAAGATTATGAAGAATATGTACCTGCGAATAATCTCGTAAATAAGTGGCAATATTTCTATGTCTAGATTGTCGACAGTAAATTGTGTCCTTAGTGAAATATCCTCTGACAATTCTACCGTCTCCATTCTAGGCTATGACGGATGATACCAGACATGTCCCGCATTCGCGCATGCGCGTTGTTTACAGCTTAGCGCACAGTGCTGTAGCCATTAGATTAGGTTAGGGGCTCCGCATAATAAAAGGAACAGAGAACAGAGAATAAGAATTTCAACCTACTAGATATCATGTATTGTGGAATACACAGTTTCTGATAGGTTGAATTCTTATTCTTTGTCCTCTGTTCCTTTGATTGTGCGAAGCCCCTTAAAGTAACGATATGGTGCCGTGTGGACCGCAAAGTCTGCGCGCCAAACTGGACAACAGGAGGTGCGAGGGATCCTAAGAGGAAAATAGAAATGAGGTAAAATATTTTAGGACAGAAAATGAATCGCAATGGAGTCAGGAAAAAAGCCCCAAAAAAGGTATGTGTGTATTCAAAAATTTAGAAGATCTTGATTACACGAAAATATCTTTAAAGATTGGTTGGCAGAGAATAGACAATAAAGCTTGGTGTAAAATTTGTAATATATCGATAAATGATGTCGATATAATTTATCAAGGCATGCCGAATCAGCTTCTCATATAGATAATGTAAATAGTAATAGTGTTAACGTAGAAATTGATACCTCACAATAAGAAGTATGTCTAATTTCTATATATTTATAATTCCATTTCTCTTTGAGGCGACTAAGGACGTCAGTTTCACAAACGGAATAGATATTCTAATGACTGCGCGCATACGCGAGTACGGGGCGTATCTGGCAGTACTATTATGGCCATGGTGGAAGCAGAGAGAAACCTGAGAGAGGACATGCCGGCCCAAAATATATAACCGCAAAATGCTGCCACACACTATTACCCCCTGACAAGTGGATGCAAATTTCATAGCTCTGACGGTAATACGACCACTTCTCTGAGGGTAATACGTCCGCTTTTCTAAGGGTAATATGTCCACATTTCAACTCCAGATGATAAATCGATACTTGGTTCATATAATCGTGCTACATCACAAATTCTGCATCAGAAACATTCATCTCTGCAATCTTACATGCGTGTGATGTTTATTTCGCTTAAAAGTATTAACATTAAGGTTATATTATATTATATTTTTACAAATGTGTTAATATTTATATTTTAAATAAGCTGTATACATATGAATTAAGTTGTATTTCAAGTACTTTATTTTTAATAAACAAATTTTTTATAATTTATTTACTTTATTTGTTTATTTTCTTATTACTAAAATTTGAAAAGCATATAATGACAAAATTAATTTGAACTTTTTTTGTATAAGTACTTTAAATATTTAAAAAATGCAATTATAAGTTTTATTGCGACGCAGAAATTAGGTATTTAATACAATAAGGAAATAATATATTTCGTTAACAATAATATAAATTGAAAGAAGAGCTAATGAACCAAGCTGGTTAATTGTGTTAATGTTTTAATTGTGTTATTATTATAACATAACATGTATTATTGTAATAAATCTTTATACACAAAAATTTAAACAATGTTAAGAGTATCAATTTAAAATATTTTGTTTATTTATAAAACAATATAATGCAATTTCTGCATCTAAAGCTGAAATGTTGCTCTATCGAGTGATATAAATGTCAATTTAAAAAAAAATAGAATATATGCATTTCAGCTAAAAATATAATATTACTTTCCTTCTATAATTATTGCATCAATGAAACTTTACATAATATATCTTGAATATTTAAAGAACTTATACAACAAAGTT